GGCCCTGTCCGGGCTGGAGCCTGGAGCAGGAGGCCGCCGGGTCTCAGGGAGGTCTGAGCTGTAGGCTGGTGCTGGCAACAAAAGGTATTTGCATCAGATCATGGGTAAAGTGCCTTGTTATTTCATTAACTCGTGCAGCAATGGACTGCCGCAGAGAGAAGGGAGATTTGGAACCCCACGGGGTGGCAGGGGCTGAGATCGCTCAACAGCAACCAGACTGGTGGCTTCCAGGGGGCTCAGCAGCCTGGACAGGAGCTGGACAGAGGGTGGCCTTTAGGTGGAGGGGTACGAGTGAAGCTTCACCCTGGATCCTCAGCCCCCAGCCTCAAGGCAGGAGACACAGCAGGGGACGGAATCAAGCAGCACATCCCTGGCTGGCACCATACCAGCACTCACAGGAAGTGCTCAGGAAGAGGAAGCACAGAGGCCCAGGTTGGACTTGACCAGCACATCGAAGACAGGAAGGAGGCCGGTGTGGCTGCGACAGAGTGGGCAGTGAGGACAGTAAGACCTCAGGACAGAGAGCATCCGAGGGACCTGCCAGATAGCGCAGGGGCAGCTGTAGGGTTTGAGACTGGTTTTTAAGCACCATAGCAGCCGCTGGAAGTCCAAAAGCAGGGGAGGGACATGAGTTGATTGAGATTATTCAGAGGCCTCCCGGCTGCTGGTTGGGGGTGGATGGCAGGGGCCAGGTAGGAGCAGGAGAACTGAGGGGGGCTCGGGCAGCATCCCATGCAGGGGGTGGTCAGTGAGGGTTGTACTGGGGGAGGTAGGAAAGAGGCAAATGGGCTAGAACTGGGTTTTAAAGGAGCTGTTGGCAGGACTTGGAAATGGACAGGGGGTGAGACAAAAGAAGGGGACTCGGATTACTGGGATTGCATGAGATTATGTGTGTGGATAAAGGGTTTGTTTGGCACGGCATCTTGCACATGCTCATAAACACTGCCCATAAGAGCAGAGCGTTCTGCGCCCAGGCCAGTCTTCTCTCAGGATCAGCCATGCAGGTCACGCAGGGTGGTGTTTCTGCTCTCGGTTTCTTGGGCTGGACCAAGCGGCCACTGTTCAGTGTGTGCAGGACAGCATGGCACCAGGCAGGGACTTGCCCGATGTCGCTGGGCCTGTTCGGAGCAGAGCAAGACCTGGAAACCAAGTCTCCTGATGCTGGAAAACCCCTCTGGGACCTGAGAAGTCTGAGTTCCCAGGCGGGAGTTGTATCAGCACCTTCCTCCAGCATCCGCTCAGAAACTGGCCTTGCGGGCTGTTTCCTTCAGCGGTGCTGACGGTCTGACCTCATGGCTTTTGCACTTGTTGTTCTCTTCCTGAACCTTCCCAAGACTGCTCCTCACCCTGCCACGCCAGCAGCCCTGCAGAGGTCGGCCTGCAGAGCTGACCTGGGCTCCTCCCACCCTCCCCCCCACCCAGGGGCCTGTGGGATTTCCCAGCACTGGGCAGCAGCCCGGGCAATCCTGAGGGTCAGGTCATTGCTATTGCCTCATCTCCTTCCACAGTTGACTTGGAAGGACTCCCAGCCCATGGCTGCCAGCACGCTCTCTGTAGCACCACAAGTGCCCACATGGACTGGCCGTGGCTCCTGGAGGCCGAGTCACACAGGATAGATCCACCTTTCCTGCTGGGACACAGCCCAGGCGGAATCCCCCTTTCTTCCCTCTTGCCTGGTTTGGGCGTGAGTCAGGGAAGGTCTCATTGACTTTTTCCTCTCTACTCCTCCCCAGCCCACAGAGGCAAGAGCAGGCACGTGGAGGGGGTGGGAGGTGGGGGTGGAGCCAGCTGGAGCCAATGCCCAACTGCCTTGTTAGTGAGGCCATCCAGGAGCCTCAAGCCAATGGGTATTCCTTCCTCCTTCCCTGAGGCTCCAGCCTTCCCCTGGCCCCAGAATCGGGATAAAGTCTTTATACTTAACCCCAGTGTGATCCCTGCCTTATTCACGGCCAAGTTCAGACAAGAGGCAATCAGGGGCTTAAGTGGCTGCCAGAAAAGGCTAGCTGCCTGGTTATTAAATATTAAGAGGCAAGAGCCTGGGAACGTATAATTGCAAATGAGACTTCGAAGCAGATGTTGCCAACAGCTTGGGCCAGCGTTCACAGTTGGGACCAACAGGGGATTTCAACTCCCCAAGCCAGACTGCTGGCAACAGCCCTGCATTTACGGGGCACCTGCTGAGTCTCAGACTCTGAACTGGATGCTGCAGGTACAAAGATGGACCACACATGTTCTCAGCTTCAGTGCATGTTCCCGGTCTGATAAAGAGGACAGACCGGTCAAGCAAAGGTCCATGGCCTAGGGCGGTAAGTTCTGGGCTGCAGGTGACCCTCGGGGTGGTGTGGGCCCCAGGGAAGCCCCTGTGAGGGAGTGGGTAGTGAAGGCTTCTGAGGGAAAATTTCATTGAACGTTTATTGAATACCTACTGTGTGCCAACCATTACTGTAGATTCTGGGAGATAAAGTGTGAACTAAGTCAGAGACTTTCTCGCATGGCATTCAGTCGAGCGGGAGCTTGCATTCCACTGATGGACAGGAGTTCACACCATAAAGAAAGGGCAGAGGGGAGAAGCTCCTGCACAGATCTGGAGGCATGAAACCTGAGATGTCCTGAAGGTGAGGAGCAAGTTCAGTCTGGCTGGCCGAGCGTGAGAGCAGGGGGTGGGACGGATGGCTGATAGTGCAGGCCTGAAAAGCTGCCTGTATTAAGAATTTGGGTGAGTCCTGAAGGAGGTGAGAGTACAGCAAAGTGACCTCCCTCAAGGACAATCCATGGCTCCCAAGACCCCTGGGAAAGAACCAGTCTGGCCTTTTAATCCATCACTCTGAAAATCTGAAAGGAAGGAGACACCCAGATGGACATCCTGAGAGAGGCGGCTGCTTGGTTAGCCACCCACCAGACCCCAGGCTGGGTTACTGCGAGAGCCCCCCAGAAGCCCCACCCCTTGGCTCTCCTCACACCTGCAGCCTGTTATGCCAGCTCCTGAATGGCTGAAAACCTATCCTGGGAACATAGGCACCTTTGTCTCAGTCTCTGCAGAAGGTAATGGGTAATTTGAGAGCCTGGACCACTCAGGATACAAGTCCTTGCCAAGGAAAGATTCCAGGTCAACATCCCCAAGAATGTCCCAGCTGAGCGGGCCACCCTCTCCACTGCCCTGCCCAAACCAGCGGGGTGGACAGAATGAACTTCCAAGGCCATTCCTGGGCCATGATTCTACACAAAGAAAGGCAAGAGAAAAGGGAGGAAGAAAACAATGTTTGAAGATGCTAAGATCACAGGGGTTTTGAGTCCTTGGAGATGGTTCTAGAAGCCTAGGGTTGCATGGAGTTGAGATTCTAGAATTCTCTAGACCTAAAGTTCTAAGATGCTGGAATTCTGTGATTCTAAGACTAGCTTGATGGGGGAATGAAAACATCGTAGCCATCACATTCTCTTACTAAAATTCATGCCTCTGGAGAGAACCCCACACCTGAACTCCAAAGCCAAGCAAGCTTGTTTTCCCCTTTCCACCTCTAAATAGTCTTCTCGCTTCTCGGTGTCTGCTCCTCTACACACCCCTCCACAACCCCTCCTCCAAGCCTGGCAGCCACACATTTGCCATCTGCATATAACCCAGTGATTAGCACAGCTGAGCAGGAGAGGAGGGGTGTGGAGACCTTGCCGCCTGCCAGTAAGTCAGCCTGAAGTCAACCAGGCTGCAAGGAGTCACCCCCAGCTCCCTGAAAGGGCTGAGCAGGGAAGGAGGCCAGCGTGCACACTCATGCATGCACACTCATGCACACACACACACACACACAGTGAAACACACAAAGAAAGATTCCAGGCACACCATCATACAAAGATACAGAGAAAGAGATGCACACACACATACCACACAAGGACATCTGCAGACAGCACGCGCTCACACACATGCAAACAAACTGAACAGATAACAGGCGGACACATGACCCCACAGTGCCACAGCCCCGCACACACAGATACACAAAGATCCAGTGACAGACATGCACCACTCACATGCACAGCACACATGGGTATTTGTCATGCAACACACCCACATATCTATAGAGACCAAGCCACACAGAGAAACATGCATTGGCACACACAGACGCTAGTGCAAACACGTGTAAACAAACACACATAAACAGGTGCGTATCACAGACACTGACACATTCCCGGGGTGACAGGGCACAGGGATGTCTGTGCACCCTCCAGACAAGTATTGTGGGGAAAGTTACCCTTTTCATTTCCCTCTCATCCCTCTGCCAGCTGCACTCATTTATGGGACATTATTGAAAGCCTACTATGCACACAGCCTGGCTTCAGGCCCTTGGGACATCCCAGAGCTGCGACACAGGGGAGTGGGGAGGAGCAGCTCAGCTAGGCCACGGCTGCACAGGGGCAGCTGGGACACATGTAGGCAGTAAGTTCAGAGAGCCATGCCGTGAGTTGTATATGATGAATTGTCCAGAAAGGTAGTGAGCTCCCTGTTGCTCAAGGCAATACAGTATAACAGAGAGGTTCACACATCAGATGGGAGAGGGAGTGCTGGGGGCACTGAAGGCCCTTAAAAATTCCATCCAGCTCTAATCAGTTAATCTAATCAATTCTCTTTCTATCAGTTCCACTGGGCTTTAAACCTGTGATCTTCAGAATTTTTAAAATCATATTCCCTACTAGTAAAAACATTTTAAACATGTACCCCACTATACGTTTGTTTATTTGTAAATGCATCATGTACTTTTTGGACTAATATGTACTTCATAGCCAGAAACCAGAAACCAGAATAGAAAAACTTGAAATAATTTGATGAAAATACATAGATTGCTACCTTAAAGGACAGGGAGAACTGGAGGATGAGTGATGTAGCATTTATTGAGTACCTGCTGTGTGCTAGACTTCTGATGAATATTATTTTAAGAATATTATTTCTTGAATTTTCAAAATAGCCCTGAAAAGAACTGTTGTTTTTGTTTTTGTTTTTGTTTTCCTTTTTACAGATGAAGAACTGGAGCACAGAGAAGTCACTCAGCCAGCGGTGGGCAGGGCTGGAATTTGGACCCATCCAGGCTGCTCCAGGATCTGAGGCTCCACCCTGAAGCTTGGGTCTTGCAGGGAAGGGGTGGGGCTTGCAAGGGGGCGGGGAAGACCCATTTTGCTGCTGTAAGCAACAGTTGGGTAGTTCAAGTTCTAGCCCTCAGCTGAGTGGGAGGGTCTGCAAAATTTGTCAGGAGCCTCAAATGACATCCCAAAGGATTTGGGCTTGAAATGGAGCAACAGATTGGATTCTCGGGCCACAGGCATAGTTGGGCAAGACACACCTTGCTTGCTACTGAGAATGTGGCCCATGTGTGGAATACCAGCAGCTTTACCTGGGAGTCTGTTACAAAGTCAGAACCTCAGGCCCCACCCAGACCTGTTATACTAAGTCAGAATTTACATTTGATTATGTGAAATCCATCTGCTCTGTGATCCTGTCCCTTGGGATGACAGGGAGCAAGGCAACACTGGTGGTTCTGGGGCTCCTTTTCTCTAGTTTGTGCAGTTTCAGAGTCGTAGACAGTCCAGGAAAACCGGAGGCGGCTTCCAGGAGTCTGTCTACAGCGCCTTCCCTCTAGCTCCTGGGCCCATCTTGCTCCAGATAAAAGCCAAAGGCCTTACTTTGGCCGTGAGGCCATGAGGACTGTGCTGGGCTTCCTGTCCAAGCTCGTCCCCCCGCCCCCCCCACCTCCCCTTACTCTCTCTGCTCTAGTCTCTCAGATGCTCCGCTGTCCTTGAACTTGCCACCCCAGGATCTTTGCACTACTTGTTCCTGTCACAAGTATTCCCATGGCCCTCCTTCACCCTGTCTTCAGGAAATACCATTTGCTGAGCAAGACCTTCACTGCCACCTACAAAGGAGAGCAGCAGCCTGCACTGCCCCACCCCCATCACTCTGTCCCTCACCCTACTTCCTTTTTCTCGGCAGCTATGGTTGTCTACAGAGTAAGCAAGTGTTTCATAACTCATGTGATTGTTTTTCCAGCTCTCTCACTAGCATGTGAATGCCTCCAGCACCCAGAACAGCCCAGCCCATAGTAGGTGCTCAATAAAATATCTGTCAACTGAATGCATGCTGTGCCCACTGTCCTGCCCAAGGGGACTCGCTGGTGCAGCAACGCTGTGGGGCTGTGGGGCCTGTGATGACACAGAGGCCTTGGAGCCTGGGTCTGCCTTCCTGGGACACCACGAGGCCTTCCCTGAGGTTATGCCCCCACCCCCCAGTCCCACTGAGGGAGGGACAGCACCTTCACTGGTCTCAGACCCTCCAGGTTTTCCAACATGTTCTGCCTCTCCCCTAGTCTCTCCCAAGTCTGTGTGGCAATTCTTTTGATTTTAGACCTTACCAAAATCCAAGGCAGCCTTACTATGGGCCCAAATCCCCACAGCATGACTTACGAAGCCCAGCTACTTGCTCGAAACTGGGGAGAAGAAACACTAGGAGGACAAGCACAGACTAACACGTTCTAATTCGGCCCATCACTCTTCTAGGCAGTGAAGCTTGGGGCCGCCCCGTTTCCCTCAGTCTCTTATCCATTCTAGGGGTCAGTCACTGCTTTCTTGGCTGGACAGGCAACAAGACTCAGAGCGCAAACTCCAAAGGTGTGATTGCAGGTGTGAACCACCTTATGCCCCAGGCACTGGGGGTGGGGCGGGCAGTGCAGGGAAAAGGGTAGACTGAGGATAAGGAGGAGAATAAGGGACTTAGTATCAAAAGATCTGGGGTTATCCCCTTTGCTTGCCACTGACCCAATACGTTGCCCAGGCTGTCAGTGTCTACCAAGCATGGAGCTTATGTTTGTTCATCTGCACCAATGGTGGACGTGAGTGGCACGCCCCAGCCAGCTGAGGCCAGCATCCAGCCCAGCCTTCACACAGCGGGCTGAGAGGCTCCAGGGAGGAAACAGGCCAAAGAGCTCTGGAAACGAGCCCTGGAGGGACCTCCCATCCCACTTTCCTCCTTGCTCCAGAGGGTGATGGCACGGCAGAGGCTGGCATGGCCACAGTGCCCTGACACCACCGTGCCGGCTCCTCAGAGGCCGGGAGCAGAGAAAGTGGTGTGTGTTGCTTTGGCTGTCCCTGAGAGCAGGGCCGGCTGCTGCCCAGGGACAGCACCTTCCCCTCAGGGACAGGAATGAGGCCAACGGGAGCCCAGGCCACCCTGCCTGGGAAGGAAACCCGAGTTCAGCGAGGGCATCTATTCCTCCAGGAAACCCAGGCCAGGCCGGGCCAGCAGGGCGGAGGAGCCTGCATGTTTGGTGGGGCTGCCCACACCTCGTGGACAGAGCTGCTCATGCAGGCTCCTCCTTGCCCTCGTTTACTTGACTCCCTGTTCCGTGTGGTGGGGAACTAGGACCCTGCGTGGAGCTCTCATGTGAGTGGGGGAACAGCCATAGCCCACAAAAGTATACTGTATTTACATGCCATCAAAAAAAAATAAACTGGGGTATGGGGGTCAGAAATGATGGGACACTTTGGATAGTGAAAGGGACAGACTTCTCCAAGAAAGGGACATCTGAACAAGGAGCCAAAGGAAGGGACAGAACAAGCCAGGCAGCCAGCTGGGAAGAGAGGAGTCTGGGCACGGGGAACAGCAAGTGCAAAGGCCCTGCGGAGGGTGCCTGCCGGGCATGTTCAAGGACTGGAGTGAGCCAGGGAAACGGGGGAGGCAAGGTCAGAGGGGTGGGATCACAGGGGGTTTGTGGGCCACACTGAGAGCTTGGGCTTTTATTCTAAGAGATGAGAGGCAAGGTTATTGGGAGGTTTAGGCTGAAGGAAGGACAAGATGGAGAATCCAGTGAGGTGGTAAATGCACTAGTCCAGGTGAGACACGGAGGTGGGCGGGACCAGAGGGTGAAACAGGTGGTAAGGAGTGGTCAGAGTCCAAGTTTATTTTGAAGGCAAAGCCAGGATGATTGGCTGGCAGCACTGTGAATCGAGAGGAAGAGAGAGGGCTCGAGGGAGACACCAAGGGATTCTGCCCAGGGAACTGGACTGAGATGGAAAAGACGGGACAGAGGCAGGCACCAGCCATGCTTCTCAGCTGCCGTCTGCTGGTTCTGTCCATCTGTCTGTCTCCCCCACCCCATCCCCCTCACCCCTTTTATCCAGTACTTCTGCCCTCAGCCTGTATTCAGATGAGGACTGGAGGCTGAGGCCACCCAAGATTGCATGGCTAGTGACAGGCACAGCCTGGAGTCGCTCACACGGCTCTCAGCCACTGGGCTCTGGTGTCCCATCACCACTAGAAAGAGCTAGACTCACCTGTTCATTCATTCACTCATTCATTCACTGGATCCTTCCGCACCTCAGCAGGCCCAGGGGGAATCATCAAGCCAGCCACTGGGTGGTAAGGGGGACCCAGAGAGGCCACCCAGGCTCACAGGAGTCAGAAAGGACAGAGGCTGGGAGCAGGGGCTGAGGAATGAGGACGCCTGGATTCGAAGCCTAACTCTGCACCTCACAAGATGTGTGCTCTTACACAAGTCCCTTAACCTCTCTGTCCCTCAGTTTTCTCATCTGTTAAATGGGGATAAAAATTATGTCCATGTAAAAGAGGGAATGAAAAGCATGAGAAAATCCACTAAAATCCTTCAGATTCGGGACTTCATCAGCACCCATCCATTTTTGCTACGATTAGTATTGCTATTTGGCAGAGTCAGCACTGGAACCCAGGTCTCCCAGTGGACGCCGAGGCAATCAGCTCTCGGTCCTTGCATCACCACCCGGCAGGGGCCCACCACCCAGGGGCGTGGGAGGAGACTCAGCTCTGCACAGCTGGGCTCAGCTCCTGGCAGAGCAGATCCCAAGAACCGGAGAACAGTGTTTAGGGCCTGACAGCGTGGTCCCACCCTTGACGAGCCCTGAGAGCCTCTCGCTAGCCTGCCGAGCCACTTAGTGGCTGACTTCCCCAGGAAAGCATTAATTACAGCATGGCTCCCCAGGGACCCCGCTCTGTGATCAGCCACAGCCCCTCAGCTTCGGGGCCCTGTCTGCTGTCTCCAAGCCAGTGCTGTCACTCCCCTTTGCTTCACCTGGCAGGGGGAGAACAGAAAACAGAGGGAGAGACAGACGGACCCACAGAGACCCTGGGGCTGGGCTCCTGAACCACGCCCACCAGTCTATCCAGCAGTTCTCCAAGCGTGAGCCCCAGACCAGCAGCGTCAGCATCACCTGGGAACCTGTTAGAAAAGCAGGCTCTCTGACCTTGCCGAGACCTGCCGAGTCAGCAGTTCTGGGGGTGGGACCCTAGGATCCATGTTTAACACATCCCTCCAGGTGGCACTGATGCCTGCTCACCTGGGGACCCGGAGGTCTGTGTCCTGTGCAGCTATGGTGGCCGGAGGAAAAGGAAGCAGGGGAACATGCTGTGAGGAGGTGATTATAAAGTGAGGTGCACTGAAGCACAGGCTCAGACAGATCCAGCCACTTTCAAACCCAGGCTCTGCTGATGTCTTATCGTGTGCTCTCGGGAAGGTCACTGTTTAAATTAATGCATATTTATGGAAACCTACTCTTTACTGTTGAAGGCCCTGGGGCTGCACTGCTGGGAGCAAACAATGGCAATAGCCAGCCATTATTCCTATATTCACTCATTTGCCCCTTACATAAGCCTTTAGGTACGATTCTATCACTACCCAAATCTGGGTGAGCGAGGCACAGATGGGCACAGCAGCCTGTCCCACCGCTGAGTCGAGGCTGGGCTGCAGTTTAGCTGTGGATGTGTTTTCAGAGCAGGGCGCTGGGCCACAGGGCCACACTGAGCTGCGGGTGGTTCAGGAGACGGACAAAATGCAGCAGAGACACAACCCTGGCAGGCCATGGACGTGCAGTGAAGACAAACTAACATAAGGAAGGGGATACAGTGCATTGGGTGGAGCTCTGGGTGACTTTTCTGTGGATGCTGGACCAAGAGAACAAGGGTCAGGCCCCTTCCTGGGGCGGGTGACACTGCTTCCTGCTGGGGTGGCACAGGGGTGGCTGCTTTAACAGGGTGGTCTAGCAAGGCGTCTCTGAGGAGGTGACCCATCAGCCAAGGCCTCACTCTAAGGCAGCTTTCTTACCTGTAAAATGAATTAGCACCCCTCCCAGATGTGGTGTGAATATGTCACACGAACATGTCTATGAAGCATAGCAGATGCTGAACTAATAGGAAGTATTGTCAACTGAAGAACTGACTTCCAGCCCTAACTGGCCGGGCCCTCCCTAGCTGTGTGTCCCCAGCAAGTCACTGTCACTCTGAAATCTGGTGTCTGCAGCTATAGAATGGCTGGCAGAAGGCCTGGAGATAACCCACAGAAAGGTCAGCGAACAGAGCAGGGCACAGTCAGGGCCCTCCCACCTCCTGCCCCCACCCTGCTTTCTCTCCAAGCCATCAGCAGCTCCTCTCCGGGCTGTTGCTTCCCTGGTCCAGGCTGCCCAGGAGTCCTTGCTGTTTTTATTTTTATTGTTCTGGCTCCAAAGCTGAGGCCTCTCACTCCAAATGGTTCCTCTTGCCCAGAAAAATAGGTCATTGGCAGCTCCAGCCTCCTGACAGGCCCCACACAAAGGCGGCCTGGAGGGCTGACTGCTGACGCCAACCCAGGGTTACGGGAAGTCAGGGGCAGAGCCTGGGCAGGGCTGGTGCCAAGCAGAGCCGGGTCCCTGCAGGTTCCCGCATGCCCTGGCAGAGCCGCCCTGGTCGAGTCTCTTCCTTCCTCTGGCCTTGCTCCCCAGCTCCAGGAACACACGGGCATTGCCGAGGCTGCAGTGAGACGATGCACATAGAGGGGCCTGGCACACACAGGGGTGCCATCACCCCACCTGGAGCGGCAAACTCTGGCTATGCTCCGCTGTGGCTGCGTTCACACCTGTGCCAGTACTGCCGCTGGGACCGGGGAGACCGGGTTGTTCCCATTTCACAGATCAAGAGACTGAGGCTCTCGAAAAAGTTTTCCCCAAGTCGCATGAGTCCAATTGGTGGAGTCTTGGTCTCAGTACCTCTGGTGCTCCCCTCCTCCTGCTCATTCCAGTGTGCTTTCCAAAAGGGAAGGGACGTGATCTGACTTTTATAAA